ATGGATGGATGGTAAAATTAGACACTTTCTGAAAATTTGTATTCAGAAACAATTTACAGAATGATTCCAATCCCTGAGCTCCCAGCTTGATACAGTTCTGTAAAAACAAACCCTCTTTCTACAATATACAGAAGAAAAAATAAACATTAATCAACACAGAACTAACAACAAATATTTTTCCTGAGAAGGCTTCTGTACACGAACTACTGGTGCAAAAAACTGAATTTATAGAAGGTAGCTGATGTCAACAATTTCATACCTTTAAATAATCATATAATGAAAATGTAACAACACAACTGAAATATTCATGCAACCCATTAAAAAAGCATTTGTTGGGTTTCCATGAATAATTTTTGTCAGGTTTTAAGCTGAATTTTTTTAATCAATCAAGTCATTTGTTAGTGTATTTAATATTTTAGGTTCTTAATGTTAATATTGACATTTATCAGGTAAATGTGCATGATTATTAATATTGTAGGGTCTTGACTTTATTATTTAATTTAGTCAGGTAAATGTGAATCTTTGTAGTATTGTATTGTCTTAACCGAAATGTTTAAATGTGTAAATTGATAACGTTTTATTTTTCTCTTGAAAAGCTCTTTGGCTCTTTGCTATAGAACTAACAGTGGCTCGACTTGACTTGATAAAATAACAACCATGCGTGTATATCTTGTCTATGAAGTATTACCGTACATTAAAATATAAAACCTTTACAAAATGTGTTAAATTAAAAAGTGGTGCCACTTTACAACAAGCAATCAAGTCTGAATTTCTAAATAGACCAAGAGTTTTTATCATATCTGCAGCTTTAAATATTCATAAGTCCTTGATAAATTGATTTCGATTCAGACTCTCTGCAGCCCCTTTGTAAAAGTATAGCAAGTGGTCTGAGCGGTCAGACAGAGGTTTGACAGCCTTGTACCTGAGAGACAAACAAACTGAAACACTGGTAAATGATTTATTTACATCAATCAAGCCATTAGTTGCAACTTAAACCATTTATTAAGGGGACTTTAATGTAAGTGTTGGAATCCAACCAACTAGCAACATTTATCACAGCATCACTGACAAAACACTTGCTGCTGGGATTGTTTCATAACCCAGTGACCCCTAAACTGCCCTCTAATGTATAGCTGATTACTCTATAAAGCTTTAGTAAATTATTTATTACCCATAATAAAGTGCACACCATAAAATAATACTAAATGGCAATAGTATTACTATATTATACTATATTATACAAATCAAGATCATCTATTCCTTTCCTGCAGCATTTTCCTCTGCTTCACTCTTCTTCTTCTTCTTCTTCTTCTTCTTCTTCTCCCTCCTCCATCCGTCCCCTTTGTCCTCTTAGACTCATGTTCTTACGATGTCCCCTTTTTCACAATAAGTCTGCATTCCTCTACTGTCTCTGTCTATCTAAGGTCATCGGTTTTCACTTGTGTAACACACAAGCTGGAACGTTCTACAGTTATAATAAACAGCCGCAAAGCAAACTTTTACCCAAGTAATAGTCAAAGAAAGTATTCCTGCAGAAAATTCAGGGGCAATCAAAACGTTTTGCTCGATGCATTAAAACCCAGTAATGCACCACAAACACTAAATTTTGCAGTTTGTCCTCAGACAGACTAGAGCCATGTTAAACATTTGGATAATATGAACACAGAAGCTACAAACAAAACAAAAAAAATACAAATAAAGAGCATAAAAAGTCTGTTTCTTCATTGTGGCTGCTATCAACGCACTTGTTCTCTGTAAAAGAAGTGTTGTCAACCAATACTTTACTCTATGTTTTCTATTCATGAAGATGCGATTTAAGTATGCTGTTTGTAAATGAAAAACTAAATATTCAAATTAAACAGTGGAGGTCATTTCATGTCTGCACAAGCTGCAAAAAGAACACAGCTGAAAACAAGCTTCTGAATCTTAAAGAATGATGTGAAATCTGTTGTGATTTTCAGGGAAAAAAAAAAAAAAAAACAAGATCAAATTGGAAAAGAATCCGATGAAATGATGAAACTGACCAACAAAACAAGAGCAACTAAGAGACCAAACAACCAAACAACACAACTCCAGCGCTTAGTTACACTTAATCCTCTTGAGCGTTGCAAAATGAGGGCAAAATGCGACAAAACATTTCAGGAGAGTGTCACTGAGTGCTTCTACTGATACTGAATGCAAACAATACAGATCCAACAATACAAGAAAACGATGATGGAAGATGAGAAGTAGCAACCTTGGCCTCCGATGTTGATCGTGGCGCTCAAGCTGAAAACCAGTGCAACGAGTTCACTACAGGAGTGGGAGACACAATTCTCAGTTTCACACTAAACTCCAATTAATTCAGTTTCTTTACTGGGTTTTTAGTCTCTTCTGTTTGAACAATATCCAGGGTCCTGTTGGTGTTCTCCGTATATAAATCCTGCTGTACATCCCGTTCTATTGCAAGACAACAGCATTATATGTTCAGTAACAACACTTTTTTCAGTGTATTGCTAAAGTTTGAAAACATCTTGCTTTCTACATTGTTTGGGCATTGCGACTATGATATGACATAGTCTCGCTACATACAGAACACACTATGTCCTAGTTTGGCTATAGCTTTATGTTTGTGAAGAAAGGTGTGAACAGTAAAGTGCAGTTTTTGATGCATTTATTTGCTGTTATTTTTTTCCAGCAAATGTCTAAATGGACAAACTTATCTGGCAACTTTTCAGAAGGCTGATATTATCTTGCTAAATTCTTACCACACAGATGTGTTTGCAGAAGAAATCTGACAGCTCGGTGATGAATTATGACCGAGAAGCCGTGGCTATCTTTACAAAAGGGATGTGGCAGAGCTGGTTGGTCAATCCACAACGTTCGTCCAGAGTCAAAGGTCACAGCAACTATGGTATAGATGGTCCACAAAGGAATCCGATTAACTTTGGTAAACCCTTACCCCTAACCGAATCTCATATTTTAAGAGCATTCTCGTAGATT